GCCTTTGGAGCGGGATTCCCACACGGAGCTCCGTGGCAGCCTTTGGAAAGGGATTCCCACACGGAGCTTCACGGCAGCTTTTGGAGCGGGATTCCCACACGGAGCTTCGCGCACTCAGGTGGGATCCGCAGTGCTCCCGGTGCCGCACGCAGCGGAGCAGCTCATCAAGCCCAAACAGCTGCATGAAGGAATCGGTAACCGTGACAAGGCGCCTGTCCCCGCATTGCGCGTGCCCCGAGCCTCAGCTTGGCTTTTCCAGAGCTCACGCTTATTCCAAGATCCTGGAAATCTTCCTCCTCGCTAAGGGAATGGGGAAGAGCAGCTATGAATTAGAAGTTTCCTTTGGCTTATACACTGCTCTTATTGTACAGAAGCACAAACATGAATAAAAATATGCTTTTTTCACTGAAATAAAAGTTCTACGTGCTAAAGTAAAATCATTTTAAATTGAAAGGTTTTAAATAATGGACTCTATTTCCACAGAGATAAAATTGAGAGCATTCCAGGACCTTGTTCTTCCGAATGACTCCAGCATTGCAGGGGCTTGTCCCAGAGGGCAAGTCAGGAAGCCCAGGCTCTTGTACGGACTCATGGCCTGTTTTCCCACCACTTCTCAGCTGCATTAGCAGCTTTCATTCAAGAACAACTGATGGCCCCCACCAGCTTTGAGCTCATCTTACAGCTCCTCTGAAAACACCATCTTCTCCAGCCAGTACCTTCCAGGCAGGAAAGTGGAGCCTCTGCCAAGCCCCCCATCTCCAACTATGGACTGTGTCTCGACATGAAAGGGATGGCGCTGCTGAGGTGGGAGGAAAGGTCCGTGTGGATCCCAGCCGGGATGATGAACTGGCTTCCACGGTTAGTGCAACATTCCCAGCGCAGCATCCCTGTTTGGGCAGTGCTTCTTACTGCTGCAGGCAGCGGGATGAGGAGCTCTGTCCCCTTCGGTGCTCCCGCAGCCCCTCTGCTCTGTGCTGCGCAGGTGCCCGCTGGCTCCGTCAGCAGAAATCCCACGGGAGGGCTCCAGGCCTACATGGAGCAGAGCACTGGATTGGGAGCACAGCACCAAGGTTCTGGGGCTGATTTTGTGCCCACTGTCCCTCCTGCAACCAGTCCAGAATTGGAGCTCAGCCCTGTGAGCAGAGTCGCTGGTGTCTAGCTCAGCAGCCACAGTGCGATCACCTCAGACTCCAAAAATGTTATTTCTTTTGCTTTAGAATAACCTGGGTGACATAGGTGGCATCAATTGTGTTAAGAAAAACATGTCCCTAAAACACGAAGCCTCTGGTCTAATTACCAAGATCCGAGAGGCATAACTATTACTGAGAACGGCCTGGATTATTCCACCACCACCACTGGTGGCTTCTTTTATAAGGTGAAGTGAATCCCATGTGGCCATAATATTCAGGGAGCATGGAAGCATGAAATTTGATTTCTTTCTTCTGAAGATATAGGAGATGATTTTAATAATTCTTATTCAGTAATACCAAAAAATAAGATCTTGTTCATTGGTTTAATATAAAGTCTTTTAATATCTGTTTCAGCAATAAAATCTCTGCTTTCTTTTCTATAAATGTATTAATCTCGCCTAAGGATTTAATTTAAGCAGTAAAATGAAGTGGAATAAAAATATGCAGTGGCAAGTGAACACTCTTTTCAAACAGAAACTCGCTCAGAACTATCTGCAGTCTGTTCAATCAGATTAGACCTGAGCAACAATTTAAGTTCCAATTTTACCCATCACCATTAAGAGTGGAAAACTCTTATACCCACTCCCGGATCTCTCTATGAACAGAGCGATTCATATGGGGAGGGAGCAAACAAAAGCAGTAGCAGATAGCACTATTAAAGAGAGAACACTAATTAAAGAGAAGACTGGCATACTGGTTGGTAAAAACAAATTTATCCACATCTGCAGGCCTGGCTGCATGAAGCTTGCAGTTTAAGAGACAGATACAGAGAAATGATCGAACATACTTAATAAATAAACAAATAAAAGGGTATGGGGGAAGAGGAAAAAGATACAGTGAAAAACACAAGTAGATGATCTTCAGATTGCCTACTCGAAATGTATTTCCAGAGGGCTATCTAAGAGGCAAATTAATTAATACCAAGTTCAGGCCAAATAAAGAAAAAGCTTCATTTGCATGAGAAGGGAACACTGCTGCCTCTGCTCCTTCACAGTAAATTTTACAAACACCTGTCACAGATCTTAAAGACACGCGTTATTTTGTTGAAGAACACTGCAAGCAGTAAGTTTTCTTATGTGCAAATTAATCTTCTTAATCTTTAAGGCCAGCATACAGAAATTAAGAAAAGTGTGGAATACTTCAATTTCAGCAGTTTTGCTTATTTCAGAAATCTTATTTTTTGAAAGAGAATTGTGGAAAAATAGTTCATTTGGGAAACACTTTCTATTCCCTAACGCACAGAGTGTACAATATGTACTACATAACAGTTATGCTTTCCACAAAAGAGAAGTTTTTTGGTCTTCTTTATAGCTTTTCAGGTTTTGCTTCTGCTTTCTCATCTATCAGGTCTTTAAATCCCAGTTTTTCCAGTGGTTCATTAGCCATAAGTTGCCTGAGGTAGAAACAACAAAAAAAGGCATTTAACAGATCACAGTCCATGACAAAGAGCACAGAACCCTTTTCCAATTCACCTCTTACTGTGAAGAAATGCAAGACTGTCAAATGAAGTACCTGCTACTTAGCAAAGCTCAAAAACTTTGACTTTGCAAAAGCTCCATTTGGCGATTTTCTTCCCCTACCAAGTGGCTTGGCAGCTGTGTTATACCCTGGTTTTAATATTTATCAACAATTTTCTCAAGGAAAACTGATCGTTTTGATTAATTACTACAGTATGCAGGAGCTTCCCAAAAGCTGGTGTGCAAGGTGTGCACATGTGCAAGGTAACGGGCCTGACACCACCAGGCGCCCGGCTTTACTTCCCTAAGCAACTTCCAAACCCCTTGGGATCTACCCATCCATCACAGACTGCTCCTGTACTTGCACCCCCAGCATTTCCCTACGGAATTCCCAGAGGGCCTGCGGGACGGCAGCGGGATCAGCCCTGGGGAGGCGGCGCTCGGTGCCCGCGGCGGCCCCGCTC